TCAAAANGCAGCCGCACCCGCCCGCCGTCTGCTGAAGGCATACCGCCGACTCCACCCCGTCAGTACAGCACAACTGTGGATCGCATCCGCACACGAGCTCAGATACAGAAGAACAGCCCAAACTACCATTCACTCCAGCCTCACGACTCAACGCCTTCCCTATGTGTAGTTTTTCAAGGTGCTTGCGTTTATGCCTGCACGCCACAGGCCGCTCTTCACCTTGCTGCACTACCCACTGAGTTGTCTTATCCGCTTTGTGAGCAACGTTTACCATGCAGTTTCCCTTCCATCAAACTGTCTTCAATACTGTGAGTTTGTAGAAATCCGGCTACTTCTAGTCTTGTCTAAGCGATTTAACCACTTTTTGCATAGATGAAACGTAGTCGATGGCTGGGCCATTGCAATGTGCGCAGTTCCGTCTCTGGAGGTGAGACGTTTCGGTTCCTTCCCCCTGTATCTGGGCTTGCAGATTTGGTTGTATATGTATATTAAACCCTGAACCACAGTTCCGAAGCAACGCCTATAGAGGGTGGAGTGCTTGCAAGAAATTCACTGAAACCGCTCTATGCCGTCTGCAAGTTACCAGTTCATTGAGAACAGTACTAGAATAAATAAACATAGTATACCTAAGTCAACAAGAAAATAACGGAATATTAGAAAAGGCCTGTCTGGGGGTCTTTCAAATCTTGCTTGTGAAGAGGTTGTATACTTTTTGAGCAAACAAACCNCCTACAGTTTAGGTATATTTGATTTGCCAACCCCCGAAGAACAGCCGAAGTGGACAGACTTAAAGGGGAGACTATTAGGCGTATTAGGAAAGAATAAGCTGCCAGCAGGCTGGCAACCCGCTGGTCTCGACTGCCAACCGTCGTGTTTGGACACTGCAAGCATATTCCTTGGAGTTTTTCGAATACCGTCGCGTGCTGTAATGAAACCAAAAGGCTTAACTTAGGAGTTTCCTAGATACAACGGACCCCATTTCCTTCTCTTCAGACTTTCTGGGCTCGGCGGATCAGGATACTGCATGGTTTGTTGCAGCGAGGCGCGCTGCAACTTATGTCGGCTCGCCTCTCCCGCAATCCAAGGGAGCGCATGCAGGCGCAACGAAGCTTTTTTCGGTTTCATGTATTTTCTCTGTAGGCGTATGTTCAGTATTTCTATTTTGTTGCAGGCAATCTACGAAATCCAAGTGACTATTCCTCTGGTAACTTTTTGTAGACAATGTTACAGAGAAAAAATGTGTTGGTGAAGACAAAGCACGGAAGTTTGCGCACGTGCACCGAGTTCACACCCCTCAATACGGGCACAGCTAACGAACGCTTACAATGACGTTGGATCTACAAACTCCCGTCCGGGAAACTGTACAGGGGTAGAGGGCACGAAGAAGGACAAACAGCTATCTGTTTAGTGAATGAAGATGGAGCTGCCATAAGTCTCATCAGACACCTGCGAGCGTCTCCAGGACATACGCTCCCTCACCTTGACACCATTGTCTATCTAATGTGATGAACTCCCCTTTTACATGCCAGCTAAGGGGATTTTCGAGACCTCAGTGATCATAGGGCCCTCGGAACGGGATCCCGCCATCACCAGTGGACGCATCAAGCAATGGCTGCAGCTCTGCGTCTTGCGCCTCCAACGGCAATGCAAATGCAAACAAAAGCCCAACTGAGAGTTCCACAATCCGAGTCCCCTCACACGATGGGGTGTTATGCATCAGTAACGATGGAGGTACTGCGGGTCAAGGAAGCTGATGTGTTGGCTGAGTCCCTCACTCCCTTTCATTTTTCGCCGGATTTCGTTCGCCTTAGTAAAGAGCATTACACTTCCTGGAATCTTTCATTGAGCGTGATTAAATAATAGGCTTTTCCTCTGAAAGGCCTTTGCGGGTCACATCCCTCATTCCCCACTACCCAGCATAACAGGCCGGCGGGCTTAAGCTGACCGGCACTCTAAAGTAATTTCACTCATGCTATTGAAACTCGAAGATAAGAGAAGAAACATTGTTTAGGCTTTGTTGTCTTCTGTTGTTTGCCGAATCAGAAGAGATGCTTGAGTTTCTCTAAAATTATTCTGCCCTCATCCTCACTAGACCTGGCACTGCGGCCCTACGGGCTGGGAGAGGAGATGGCCTAGCATGTTGCAACGTCCTTTTGCAACCGGCCTCATACCAGCCTCTCCTGTAGTCATAGATGCCAGTCTCTCGTGTAGACATAGAACCACATCCTTTTTTGTAATACTAAAATATTAGACACATATTAAGCATTTGCTCTATAAATATCAATATGCACTATCATCCACTTCCATGGCTCAACCAATCCTCACTCGTGGACAACGAACACGGCGCCGTGGCAAAAGCGTTCGTTACTTGAGGGGGAGATCTACACTGTCTGGTCGGGGGTACAAAATAGTCAATATTACCTACATGGAAGGCAGTTGATTCTCCAAACCTTTCTTCAACAATTGGCACAACTGATGAAGAGTTTTCAGTGAAGAATTCGAGTATGATAGTGAACTTGTTGTTGGGTGGCAGTGGTAACTCATGTAATATGACTTCACGCTCAAATATATCAAGGGTATAACCAACGTGGTCGCTGACGCAAATTTTCGAGACACTACGTGCCCAGCACAGCATTCTGCAACTGCGCTTTTTTGCGCTGATTTCCGTTTTCTTTCCAAATTTCGTTATTTTCNATGCAACAGCAGAACACATTCATTCAGCCTATTCTGACACTTTAATAGTTATCCATTAGAACATGTAGTCGCGCTATACCGTATGGACTAATCCCACCAATACCCTAGCATCCGGGGAGGCCACTTGTCGCCTCCCCTTCGGAAATATCATATTTCTATGGGTGACATCTTTTTAGCCCTCTTCTGATGTTGATAGGGTTTTTGCTTGTGTGCTTCTGTCTCACTTGTACGCATACTTTCGGCCTAGGTGGGCCTTTTAGGTGCATTTCTCCCCTGCCCATCTACGGGAACAACATAATGGCGACATCTCTAGCAGTAGCCCACAAGCGCATTCTGCTGCTCTTCTCCATCGTTCATCATTTGGGAGATACATTTGGAGATTCTGACGCGCCTTGAGTATCATTAGCTCAAGCCCAATCAGTAGACCGAGGCAAAATTGCAGCAGCCGCTGATGCAGAAAGCAAGCCTACCAACAAGTTTTTTCTACAGCAGGCTGTGTACGAGAACGAGAGCATCAGCAGGAACGGGAATAAATCGTTTGTAAGCAGCAGCACGGACATCGGCAACATCCCCAGCGACAACAGCAGCAAAGGTGACTCTGCCTGCCGGGGAGAGAAAGGCGAGCTGTCTTGTGGGCCGCCCGTCGATGAAAAGATGTCGTTTGTAGCTTGCGCGGTCGTGTAGTGCCGAGTATGTTTACTCGGTTTGGGCTACTTCGGTTGGCGCCTTCATTCCGTGACTGTATAGGCAGTTCCGTTTTTGAAGGGGCGTGTTTTTTCTCCGTCTTCATTTATCTGGGCAACGCCACACGCGTAAATCACATCAAGGTAAACAATCTCACTAATTTGCGCTCGCTGCCAGTTTCATCGGAGTGGTTTCGTGGGCGAGGAGGATGCAGACAGAAAACACCACATCTCGTCCACCCCCCTTCGTCGGGCGACCCAGCATACGACGAGGTATGCTGCTCGCGTAGAACGGGGCGGCCAGAGGTAGGGTTGCTTGTGTAAGGCGGCTCGTGGCATGCGTATCCTTACTTGTATGCGCACTGGCTCTGCAAAGTCAAGTAAGCGTTCGAAAATTATGTATCGTGTCGATACACGCAGCTAAAAGGAATTGATGATTGTTCTTGCTTTTGGTGTTTCGTTGCAGCACGAGTTGCAACGGGGTACGTTGCAACTAATCTCAGGCCGTCTCCCTCCCCCCGGCCCCCCGCCCTTGGTTGGCCGCTGTTCACAGGCTGCCTGGTAACTCGAGAGGAGCTCAGCTACCTTGTGGAACAGTTTATCTCAATTATTCCGACTTCGTTTCAGCTCACGACAATCCTCGCATAAGATCGATGAGCCGCTTTACAGCGATGTAGGTACGCGTATCTTTACTTGCGTGCACGCTGGCCATAAAAGGCCACGTAGGTCGTCAACAGTTGCCTATAGCGTCAGTTCTTGCAGCTAAGGGGGACTGGCTGAGGATGCATGCGTTGTTGCCTTGTTGCACTACGTGCAGAGAGGTGCCCTTCAGCTCCGGTCATGCTGCCGCCTCTCCCTTGCCCCAGGCACTTGGACCGCAGGAGTCAGGCCACCTGATGACTGGATAGGATGTCAGACTCTCTTTGAAAACTCTTATAGTATTTCGACCATCTAGTAGTTGAGAAGGCCCTCGAACAAGATGGACGACTCCAGTTAAGGAGGTCATGCTTCAGCAGATGTCATCAAAGGTGTAGTACTCAGTCAAATTGGCGAGTACTATAGAAATTAAGACGCTTGTAAGCCCTTAATTTAGCTCAACGGGAATTACAGGAAGAGGAGAGACACACATATTTTGTAATAATCAGCATCAGAATATGAGTACACTGGCAAGCATTGAGGTGCGGCGTCACTGCCGAGCCACTACAGGCATACAGCTAATACGACGAAACCTGGATGGTGCTCCGTTATAAAGAAAAAAAAACAAGCATGCAAAAGTTAACAACGGCAGCATCCTCGGTAGCCGCAGGTTGACCCTGGGGCCCCCATGCAAATGCCCGGATCATAACACCAGCTACAGGGGGGCCCGTTCTTCTGCTTGGATGTCTTTCCATATTTAAGTTCATCGATTTGATTTTTACTCAGTTTTAAAAGTGGTTTCGTATCGGTTATCGGCTGCATAGGATCCCCGAGGGGCCCGAATTCCCGTCGAGCTATTGCGTTCTCTGCCTGTAATTTTGACTTGAGTAGACAGCCTCAGCAACACTACTCGCACTTTCCCTGCTGTTAGTCAGGCTGTTGCAAACTCTGCGGCAATGTTCACTCCTGTGCAAATTTCTTTGACTGATGCATGCACCTGCCCGGACGCGCCAGCATCTGCTCCGGCAGCTCCGAGGTGAGTTCCTGCGCAGCGGCCGTTGCGGCGGCAAAGCAGCGGCAGCTTGTTAGAGCTGGTCTTTAAGCGGCAGTAGGATTGGCGTCGGTCGTGTCATAATTGATGCAACGGCTACAGAAGTAATGCCTGACTCTCGTGCAACGGGAGGACCGGAGTCTGTCGGGCCGCAGCAACCGCAGACAGAGCGACAGGACAACAGCACTACTGGAGATATACCTTCTAGACCGGACAGACTTTCAAATGCTGTTTCCCGTGCAGTACATTGTGTTGCTGGTGCAGCGGTCGCTGCTGCAGCAGCCGGAACGGCATCAACGGTGGCAGCAGTAGATCGACGGGAAAATGTTGAGTGTGGAATTCATTTGAACTTTACCGTTACTATGGACGGCGGGGACAGTTTTGACGCTGTAAAAGCAATGGGGAAAGCTGAAGCAAAAGTTGCAGCGACGGCAGTAGATGAGGCAGGAACAGGGCCAGCTGTAGATGCAACAAGGACAGTCTCGAGACAGACGATAAGCCGAGTGCACCGTACTTCGCATGGAATTGCATCTGATCTGGCGGAGGGAAAAGAAGCACCGGCGTCAGCATATTGCGATGTAGCTGCTGCTGCGCTTGCGGTAGAGGACAACGCTCCGGATGCAGCAGATACTGAAACTGCAGAAGAGGCGGCTACACTACAGGCACCGGATGACGCATTGAAATTGAAGGCCTTTGCCTCCTGCGCAGCGCCAGTTGCTGGTGGTGGCCCTGAAGTTGAACACACATCTGCAGCATCTGTAGAAGTAGCACGTTGGGGATCGTCTATCCCACGGATGCCCGGGGCCTTGCGTGAGGGCTTCCTGGCAGAGGTCAAGTCACTTCAGAAGAAGCCCATCATGAAAATTACAACGAGCGTTGAAGGCAAGTTTGTGCGTTTCGTTTCGACGCCCTTGTTCGCCCCCTTGTGTTGGTATTGCTGGGAGTTTTGAAACGGAAGTGCCCGGGCTTCGTCCGTTGAAGCAGTATTTTGAGACATTGGGCGTGCTGCTGCTCTTTCCTTTCCCTCCACTACAGCATGTCCTGCTTAATTTGATGCAGCTGTCTGTTCCGCCTGTCACAGGAGCGTACGGAGAAAGCTCTGTATCTTCCCTATTTAAGTTGTTTTCTCTATTGAACAAACACTTCGGCCTCAACGAACACTCCACCTTCCTCGATATCGGCAGGTCCGACTTGCTGTTTCCAGGTTCCGACGTAGTTGTCTTAGGCATCGATGATTCTGCAGCTGCGGTTCGTGCTGCAGCAGTAGCGGTAATTCAATATGGTGCAGAAGGTGGTTTCGAAGCACTTCCTTNGCTGCGGTTCGTGCTGCAGCAGTAGCGGTAATTCAATATGGTGCAGAAGGTGGTTTCGAAGCACTTCCTTGCGGCTCCTTCATACCAAGTGTATCGGCACTTCGGGGTATACAGGAGTTATACTTGTGGCACTGCGGCGTGCAGCAAGACGCTTCTGTTTCCACAAACTTTGAGTAGAAGGTTCTTTAATGGCGTTGCTTGGATACGTGTCTGCGTTTTTTCTCAGCGGTAGCGGAGTCCCTTCACTGGCAGCGGCAGCATTCGGCTGTACCTTCACGCTCGGTTTGGAGTTGGATTCGAACGTGTATTCCATATCTGTCATAAATCACTTGTGTATGCAAACCCCTATGCGTATACAGCATACAGCGTGAAGTACAGGGCTTCAACTACACGCTGTGGGTCATGGCATCTACAGTCATGCTTGTGTGTTGCAGCGCTTGTTGATCTGCTGCTGCTACAGCAGTTGTACCTTGGAGTTCAACTAGATTGGCAGCGTACGGAAGAGTGTATCGGTGCTGCTCTGAGGAACCTGTGGCAGCCTGTTGGCAATGGTTCTCCAGGTGCAGCCCCACGAGCAGCAGAGCAGGGCCTTATTCA